GGGGCTCAATCCCAGGACCCTGGGATCATGACCTGAGCCGAAGGCAGATGCTTAACCAACTGAGCCACCCAGACATCCCCAAATGTTCTGTCATTTAAAAGAAAATGTGACATGAATGTGTCAGGGCCTTGTAATGGGATGCAGGAAGGCCTCAACAGTGGCTCTATGTACCAGGCACTACTGTAGACATGTAGCACATCACATAATTATTCTAGTTTTATAAATGACAAAATCAAAGCTTAAAAATATTTAGTAACTGGCTCAACATTTCTCAGGTCATAAATGGCAGATTCATGAAATAAATTCATGCCAATTTTATTCCTTTCTCAAATATGTACAGAGTCTGCACAGATGTATTCATATTATCCAATTTACTTAGCATCAAAATCTGGTGAACTCGCATTAGATACACAAGGGCTCTATTTAAGCTGCAGTAAGATAAATTTAAGTGAATTTTGATATTATAAGTCACAAAGGTCCTGGTTTATTGACGGGTAATCCTGAGCTTGCTTGAGGGTCTGTCACTTAGTAGGTACTTAAACAGTTGTCTGTTGAATGAAGGTAACTGACCTCTTTTTTATACTCTTGAATTTGACAGAAACTTTTGAATGTGAAGAACTTTTCTCCTCAGTTGAAATGTCCTTCAAATCTTCACCTAAAAGGGAAGAGTTTTTTTTCACAGTGAACAACAGACCCCAAATTTACCTGGTAACTTAGTGAGGTTTAACCTTCAACATTGTTTCATTTGTGAATTGTCACAGAACATCTTTCTTTCATGCATTATCACGTAGGTACCTTATCAGACCAAAGTGGGAGTTACCTTTCTAAGAGAAGAGGAGCAGAGAATGTACCTGCAATTGTCTGAAGTGATTCTAATCTATTTGAAGCATAAATCGACATACTTTTTTCTTCATTCTATTCTAGCAACTTTTTTGTAAGTTGGATCGTTCCAACATGAAAACTTTAGGACATTCAGGTAACTACCTCCAAAAGTGGTGTACATTACAAACTAAATAGTAAATGGGTCCTAATGAAGTGAAGGATTAGAAAAGAAAGCTATGTAATTTCAAATAATGAATTTACTAAAACAAACATCAAACAGGTGCACTTTAGGCAGGTTGTACCCATGTCCCTCCTACCCCCATCACCCACCTGTTCTGTCCAGGTCATGCACGCCACAGAGGAACAGAGAGAGTGAGCGATTACTCATTCTTCCTCTTAGCTTATTTTCTCTTTTATAATGTTTGTTTTCTTTATATTAAAATAATATAGGCTTCTTGTAGAACCTATCACTCTATAATTCTACCACACATAGGTTAACAAATGATTAAATGTTGATGCATTTCATTATGGTCCTTTATATAAATATGTAATATTTAAATAAAGTATTTTAAAATTTAAACCCAAATCAAAAGTGAAGAAGAGTTGGCTTCTCATCCTGCTTTTTAAGTGTGTCTTCGTGTCTCCCACTGAAACGTGACATGGCTGCACTATGCTGTTTTATAATAAATAACTTGCTGTTTTATAATAAATAACGCTGCTATAAAACTCCTTGTGCATAAATCTGTACACTTCTGTGATTATTTCTTTATAATGAATTTCTAGAATGAGAGATTCTAGGGCAAATACATGGATATTCTTGACATATATTGCCAGATGGCTCTCCAAGAAAGGCTGAATCAATTTATACCTTGAATAGCTTCTGTGAGAGTTTATATGTTAATACATTCTAGCTGTTGATGTGTTTTCCCCATTCAAAAATCTCTGTATTAGATGAAAATTTTATGCCATTTTCAAATAAATGCTCTTTTCATTATCTGTAAGGTTAAACATTTTCTTAAGAACTTTAAGTTTCATTTACCGGAAATTTTCGTAGTTGTGAGAAGACCCCTGTGACCAGGTGGCGTTTGTACTGGCCTCCCCTCTATCCTTCCAGCCCCTTGTGCTATATGCCACAGACACAACTGGAACTCAACAGTTATTTATAAACCAGTGAGTTTTATGTTATTGTGCCGGATTCACAGATAAATGTTACTCTTGGAGCTATAGGGGCTCTCTTTGTGTCTGTCTGTCTGTTTATGTGTCTGAACGGATATATGCCGTGTATGGATAACATTTTTCTGTATCTAGATGATATTGTCAAAATTAATTTATAAAAGATCTCTATTAATTGGCTTAAAGAAAAATAAGCTTTAATATCAAGAATGAGCTCATGTGAAACTAAAACTTAATTTTCTTTCATCTGCTAAAAAGACAAAGTTTTCTGGGACTATTGATTTGTTCTTGATAGGATTATATGAGGTTTTTCTTTTTTCTTTTCTTTTTTTTTGAGGTTTTTCTTTACCTTTTAAGTAATCTGCCTAGAAAACAATGATTGCTGTTTTACCAAAATAATCTACAGGGATTCATGTTGTTTTTATCAGGTCTTTGATTACTTAAGAAAACTGAGTCTTCTCTAGTATAAGAGTTAAGTTTTTTAACAACTATGTAACTTTTTGTATTTGCCTCAAGTCTTTGTCACTTTGGTTAAATTAATAACTAAATATGAATTTCACAGTGATACAATCCTCTTTGATCAAGTATTTTAAAACTTTGTGAAATTTCTGATGAACTTCCCCCAAATCAAATTCTAAAGGAAGTCTTTTTGACTTTGAAATAACTTTGAGATTTTCAAGAAGGTCCCTGGACCAATTCAAAAGATTTGCTATCTCTCCCTATAAAAGAGAGATTTTTCAACTAATTAGGCTTATTTGAAATATTAAATTACACAGAAAGCATTCTCAAATAAAAGTGATACTAAATTTTCTTTAGGTTATATATAAAAAGATGTATGTTATTAATGTAAATATTCTAAAAATTGTATGAAATTCCTACAAATCTGGTGTCTCAGTATAATGTTATCAATCATTTAGTTATTTTTAAATTAAGATATCACAAAAATAATCAAATCTCCTTGTCAACTGCATTATAATGAACTCTCATCAGATCTTTAACCAGAGCTGTTTTTAAGTCTTTTGTCACTTAGACAGTTGTTTTCCTCTAATGCTTCATGTTCCAGAAGAGCTGCAGAAAAGACTACTGAGGACAGGGCTCTGATACTGAACTGACTAAGAATTTACAGAACTCTAATAAAAAAACTTACAAATTCATAAAACCGATACCAAAAGATCAAGATCAACAACAATTAATTACACAGAACTAAATGAACTGATGAGGATGGTTATAATTTTTATGACTTTTTGTTTAAAATATTTTTGGTTCTTTTATGTTTTGTTTTTTCTGACTTAAAACCCTTTTTTATAAATTGGGAAAATACAATTAAAATCTGAAAGACAACAGAAAACTGTTGAAATGGTAAAAGAAGGAAAACCACGAGAATAAAACTTTATGAAAAAAAGCAATTTTTTTCATTTTTATTGTATCTATATGAAAAGATGGATGTTAACTGAACCTAGTGTAGTAATCATTTCACAATAGATGTAAATCAAACCATCATGCTGTATGCCTTAAACTTATTCAGTGTTGGATGTCATTATTTCTCAATAAAATTAGACAATAAATGTCAAATCATCAAAAAAAATTTTTTTTACCATGATTGTGGATTTGACAATTTCCTATAATTCTGTCAGTTTTTGATTTAAGTATTTTGAGGGCATGTTGTTAATTGCATAAATGCTCATAACTGTGTACTTTCTTATTGGATAGTTACAATTACACCAACACAAAATGCCCTTCCTTTGTCCCTTCAATGTTTTTAGCTTACAACTCCTCTGGCCTCCTATTACTATTGCCAACCCATATATAGATGAGTATGTACATATAACACATATGTACAAGTACAGCTAATGGTTTTCTTATATATCTTTCCCATTACTCTTTCTTTAATAAAGATTTTATTTATTTGAGAGAATGAGTGGGGGGGGAGGGAGGAGCAGAGGGACAGGGAGAAGCAGACTCCCCGCTGAGCAGGGAGCCCGATGCGGGGCTCGATCCCAGGACACTGGGATCATGACCTGAGCTGAAGGCAGACGCTTCACCGACTGAGTGACCGAGGCGCCCCCATTACTTTGTTTTCGATCTTCATTTCATTATGATTTAAGTGTGTCTTTTATAGTAGGGTTGAAAAATCAAATTTGAGAATCTTTATCTTCATTGCAATCAGTGACATATTTGGTATTGTTTGTCATTTTATTTGAAGTGTTTAAACATGCTTTCTGTTTCCCCCTTTTCTTAAATTTCATTATTTTGATCACTGTTTTTGTTGATCTGTTTTACCTCCATAGTACGAGTTGTACATTTCATAAAAAATACTCATTGTGCAATAGTCACAGTATATAAAAAGTATAAAACCTGAACAGTAAGTGTTTTTTAAGACTCCCTCTGGGTTGAGCTATGAAGCATTCCTAATACATCCACAGACCTCTGTCTGCAGATTTCAGGTCACATTCTAGCTGTTTCCTGCAGACATTGCTACCAGGTTGAAGTTGTTGTTTATTACTGTCATGAGCAATGAAAATAATTTCAGTAGTATGTATCCCTAAAATGTATACAGTTTCACTTTATAGGATTTAAAAAATCTATATATGTGGTGTCAAATGTATGTACTTTAACAGTTTGCTTATTCTACTCATTAGGTTTGTGGAGCATCATGTGTGTTGATACATGTAGGTTTTAATCCATATACTTTATACATTCTGGCTAATAATATTTTGTTGGTTATATGTGTTACAATCTGGGGCTTGTCTTTCAAACTTTTGATGCTTGAGAAACACAGTCTTAGTTTTTCTATAGAAAAATACACCAATCTTTTTCTGAAATTTTGTATATTAGAAGCCCATCATTGATTCAATATCATGAACACATTCTATTATATTTCCTTCTAAAAGTTCTCCAGTGTCATTTTTTTCAATTAGTCACTTTAATCTACCTGAGACTTACTTTGTTTTTGTGTATAATGTGAGGCAACAAGCTCTTTTTTAAAAAATAAGGATAGTCAATCCAACACAATTTACTAAAATGTTTATTCTTATTGATCTGTTGAGGTACTTTTGTTATTTATTTTGTCTAAATCATCTCTGTTTTTCATTAATAGTTTTTCTCAGCCTATATTATACATTAGATTGTTTTCTGGCTTCCATTTTTGTTGTTGAAAAGTCTCTTGTTAATCTAGTTATGATGCCTTAGTAGGTAATCTGTCCTTTTTCTCTACCTTTCAAATGTATTCTTGTCTTTGGTGCTCTGTAGTTTCATGACGGTAAATGTAGGTGAGTGCTTCATTTTATTTGTCTTGCTTGAGATTTGTTTCACCTTCTGTACTGAGAATACATCTATTTTACCAGTTCTGGAAAATTCTCACCCATTTACTTTTTGCATATAGCCTTTTCCTCATGATTTTTCTGGAACTTCAAACAAATGTATGTGAGAATTTCCCTGTCTTCATGCCATCTTTTTTATACCCTGGTTTGCTCACTCCCTTTTCAGCATTAGATAAAACTAAGTCAGTATTAGCCCATCCGCTCAGTTTTCCATTCAGTGACTACATGTGTTATTTTAGAAGTTATGTTTGGTTATTTTTTGTATTGTTGAATAAATTTTGTTAGTCTCTCAAAGTGCTCCTGTATTTACATATATGTTATGTAATGTATAAACTTACAT